AAAAAAAATTTTGCACCAAAAGAGTCTGTTTCTGAGCTTGCCCTACAGATCTGACAGCTTTGGGTTGAATAACAAATTCCTGTTCGTTTGTTTTTCTGCCCTTCAAAAAACAGCAAAACTGAATCCAAAGTTTGCATCTGATCCTCCTCCAACTGACCTCCATTGAGAGTTCTGCCATTGACTTCAATCAAAGCAGGATCAGGCCCTTAAGTCTGGAGAAGAGGGTTGAACCTCTGGCATTGTGTCCTACTCTCTTTACTGCCATGCTAGAGAAGCACCTACCTGTGATCTGTGTGGGTGGGGAAGGGCTGTCTCTGCAGTTTCTGGGGGCAGAGCTTCCCCAAATGTGTGGGACTTCTCAGAAGAGGAACATTCAGATACTGTTACGTGGACTCCCATTCTGCACTCTCAAAGCTCACCCCTACACTAAAGAGGATTTTTGGCCCCGACAGTGAAACAGTGGGGACTTGCTGCCACAGGGGATGGGAGAGGGGCAGTATCATAAAAATCACTGAAGTGTCCTAGACCTCCTCAGATGTCCTGAGGATCCTCTGGCTCTTTGTATATTCGCATGTGCCCCGGAATCCCCATCTGCACCCAAAGAGATAATCAGCGGGGAACTCCACAAAACGGTAGAGTTTTTCCACTTAGCTCTTCCCCTCCCACAAGTTTTTGAAGCAGGAGGGAATGATTTGGCCCTTTATTTTTTTTATTTAAATTTCACTAATTTTTGTGATACCTATCACCATGACAGCTAGGCAGCCTAGATACAAGAATTAACAAACTCCTCCCCCTCCATTCCCTTGGACCAATTACTTATGCCCTAACCAGAATGGTTTAAACAACATAAATAAGACTAACTGGACAAAAATCTAGAAAGGAGGCGGTTGGGCCACTTTTAGAAAGAAAATGCAGAGGGGAGACAAGTCAAGGGGCAGAAAGGAGAAGAAAGATTTTATTCTTGGTCTCTTCCTGTTATCTTTCCCTTTTTTCCAAACGTCTTTGCAATTCTTCAGCTACCATCACTACACATAATTCGACAAAACCTAGTCTCTTTCAAGTTATGATGAATTGATGCTTCCCACCAGGGCATTACAAGCTTTCTAAGGTATGGACAACTGACAGTTTAGCAGTGGTAGTAACTGCAACAACAAAAAGTTAGAAAATACCCTATGTCCACCCACACACAGCAATGGAAAATAAAACTTGTTATAGTTGAGAGCTCAGAGTACAGTGCCTGTGAAAACTGCAACTTCTAGTTATTTGCATTTCCTTTTGTTACATTCGATTGCTGGGTATTTATTAAACAAAGCACTCTCTTAAGGTTGCAATGTTTATACTTAACATTAATAAATTATCAAGACATGATTGCTTCAAAAATCCATTGCCCGAGGTCAAAGCCTCAGAAATGGAAAATGTAATTTCAGAAAAAGATGAGAGCAACTGCTGAGACATGTGAAGTTTTAATCACAGGTTCGTACAAATGACTAACACTTATGTAAGATAATTGCTTCGCTATTTAGACCTGATATTTGTATTTCTGGAGATAAAGTTCAAAACTTAGCCATGTTCTTTCTACTTTCTCTTTCTATAAAAATCAGAGGGGCTGCTGGATTCTGGAAGAATTTTTTTTTCTTGATTCCCATGAAAAAAAATTCATTGAGCTTTTTTTTAAAAATAAGGAAATAATGCTGCGTGATGGGTACAAATGGAGATAGTCCCAGGAGCACTGCAATAGTTGAAGGATCTGTCATGTCTAGAACTATATGAACCTTTGAGTTTCATCTAGTGTTTACTTGCATTACAAAAGAATTGCAGCACTCTAGTACCATCACCTTTATTGGTATTGAAATCTATGTAACACACGTACAGTATTCTAACAGATCAGATTTGTTTCATGATGTGTTAACACAGGATTATGTGTAGCTGTGACTCAACGTTGCCATTTTGGTTGCACCATCGTGATGAAGCAAACGTAAATGTAAGATCAGGATGTTGCACTCGTCTCTTCCCCTTTCCCATTTCCCACCCTACCCCCTTTACTGTTATGAGGAAAGCCTTGTTTGTGTATCTCTGTTTGGAAAGGTCTGAGGCATAAAGACCATTTTCTGCCCCTTGTGGGAAGGGCAATTGGTTTGTGGAGGTTCCCACATCATCACTGCAATTGCTCAGCACTGCTTTGTGTGTTGGCAAATTCAGGGAGCATACAATTCATGGACAGTAGGAATGGCGCAGTGGCTGGGGCACTGGCCTGAGACTTAAGAGACCAGGGTCAATTTCCTGCCCTGTAACAGACTTCCTGTGTGACCTTGGGCAAGTCACTTAGCCGCTCATGCCCCGGTCCCCAATCTGTAAAATGGGGATAATACTTTCCAACCTCACCTGGAGGCAGGTATGACCTTAAAAAAAAATCATCTATTTGGTAGCCAATTTTACATCCATTGTGTTGGAGCAGGGCTGAGGGCCCTCATTTAGTCTGTCTGGCCCCTGCATGTTGTTGCTGCTCTTAGGAAATACAGCTGTCAGTAGGTTTTCCTGGCTGAAAAAATATGTTCATTAAGGACAGAAAATATTTAATTAAATTTTAATTCATAAAGTGAATACGACGAGGTTAATTATAGCTTTTTAAGAGGCAGTGTATGGGATTTGGAGAGATTACCTTCTGGTGTTTTGCACAAAGTGCTGTCTCTTCCGCAAAGCTTTAATTAGCTGGTCTTTTTTTTTTTTTTAATAGCCAGTTTCCAAATGATTGCTCAGTAGCTCCCATTTTGTTCTTCTGAAGCAGCTGTGCTGGAGAAACTGCTGAAGAAGAGGAATATCCCTCCAGTTTGCATTGCAGGGAGCAGACAGATTATTTATTACAAAAGGTGCAAGCTAATGGAAGAGCAAAATGCAGGCCAGCCTAGTTCAACACCTGCAATTGTCTCAAGAGAGGCTACTTGTAAATAAATAAAGGAAACAAACCAGACCGGGGGGGGGGGAGGAGAGGGAAGGGGGGTGAAATAGACCCTTTGCAGATATGGTCCAAGAGCACAATTCTCTTCTTAAATCTGCAGTGTTCGTCTCCGGTTGTCTAGTCTGCTTTCCATACATATGTCAAACTCCAACTGTCATCAGTGGAAGATGAGAGCACATGTGAAGAAAGCAGAATTTTGGAAATCTATTTTGTGGCTCTGAAGAATTTTTCCTCTAATCCTTTAGCTGTCTTCAACCCACACTTTTTTTTTTTTTTTTAAGGTTAAAAATTTGACCTATCCTTCAATTGCCTATACTTTAAATCTGGCTACTTTCCAGTAATGTGCTGGATGCCTCAAAGAACAAGGGTAAGAGGGTCTGTTCAGCACATCATTAAAGCAAGGGCACATATACTACCCTAGGAAAATTCTCTGTAAACATATGGAGTACCTTTTTCTTAGATCCTGACTTCACGCTCTATGCCGGTGATATCACATGCTCCAGGAAACCTCACTGCACACTGGAACCAGACTACTGAAGTCTGTTTTGCTCTCCATGTTTTCAATATTATGCTACTGAATGAGTTTTAACAGCAAGTTAACACTGTTGGTTATTAGTGGGTAAAATTTTTCAAAAGTGCAATAGGTGCTTAGATGTGTAAGTCCCATTGATTTTTCAATGACCGCTAGCTACTAAATGCCAAAGCCACTTTGGAAAATTTTAACCACTGTCCCTTAACATAGCAACTGCTTTGCTGCCCATGTAATGCCCACCCAGCTGGTGGATCTCTTAATCCATGTGGAGTGCTATCCACATTGCAAAGAGCCACCACAACTGTTGGAATCTCAGTTGAGAGGCCCAATACTGAACAGATAGACACAGAGATACTTTTCATGGCTATAAATAGTCCCCAGACCAGGTAGGAGGCATGTTGCTCAGGCAATGTGGGATAGCAGGCATTGGCACTGCCCAGCCTGTAATAGTTCTGCAGTTAAATGGAAGCCTCCCATCCAAAGCTGTTGATCTATCATCTTTCATGAGTACTAAACTTAGTTGCGTGCAAAATGTGCCCCGCCTTATGACGCTTGACTGAGCAGGGCATATGATGTTCCAGCATACTGTATGCTGGTGACTTCACATGGAGTGGAAGCTGGTGAAGCTTGAAGTTAAGACTAAGCCAAGGGCTGGGTAAGTTAGCAGCGTACTATATGCCTCTCTCACTCTGGTTATTGGAGGGATTCAACACATTACTGGACTTTTCAAATCTTACATTGTTAAAGGATCCTTCATCTAACGCTGCACGTTTGGGGGCCCATGAATGTGCGTGTGTAAAAATGATTTTTTTTCTAGCATTGAACAATGGTTTTAAGCTGCACTTATTCTGACTCCTATGTATTAGCCTAATGTATGTGCACAATGAGCCATATCTGGTGGCCTTATTCATCCCCATTCAGTCCAGTGGTCTATCTGTGGGGCTAAGAATAGAATCATGTGTGCCTCCCTATGAGAGTGGGTGATACAAAAGCACTGCTGTTTGTAAAGGACCAAAGCTTCGCCCTTCTCTTGTCTTGTGCGGTTCTTGAAATACAAATGTTATCTGATAATATTTTTTTCTGAAAATTGGATCAATTCCAAGTGGGTGCATGACAGGAGCAAATAAAAAATAAACAAACCTAAGAAGCATTCTCTAATCACTTCTCACTTTTAAAGAGCCGCCAACACCTCTTGGGAAAACATTCTATTTAGAAAACTTTGCTTATGTTCTCTCAGAGTTCTTCCCCTGACTTATTTAATTAAAATTACTAAATGAAACTTGTATTAGAAAAAACAGAAGCTTGGTTGCTTAGGGATTCAGATCTAGTGGCTTATTCCTTTCATGAAACCTAAATCATGTCCACTGCATCACAGCCATCACCACAACACCTAATGGTGGATTATAACCTCAAATAGGGAAACAAAGATTCTGCTCTCAGGAGCATTAAAAGGGAAATACCGACAGTGATTTATGTAAGTGTAGAACTGTCTTTAGGAATGTGAATATTTACCTGAGACAGCAGTCTCTGAAGATGAAATGTTGATGTTCAAGTACAGAAAGGAATCCGCAGATTTCTGTGGCAATAGGAACTCTTCAAGTTCCAGAACTTTGGTGCCACCTAGTGGAGAGATTTTAAAATATTATTCGTGTCCATCAATTTATCTCCTTTTTGAAAGCAAAAAATTAAATGCTTCAAATCAGTGTAAATCCAAATGAAGATCACCATCTCTCTCTTTGTAAACAGCCATGAGTATATCACAAATAAAAATTAAGTAGTCATAGGATAGTACTCTCACCAGGTTAGTGACGGCAAAATATATAACTTTCTTAACTGTAAAACAGACTTTGAAATTCTGCACAGCTAGACACTAATTTTTCCTTCTATTAAAAGAAACATGCAATATTTAAAAAACTGCTTGTCCTTGGGCATTTCCCCTTAATAGAATACCTCCAAAGAAACAGGGCAAAAAATCTTAAAGCTCACCAGGTTCTTGAGCAGGGGAAAGCTTCATTATAACCAGTGGAAATCTCTCCAGGGACCAAAGCATATTAAGCACTTAAATAAGCACTATTTTGTTCTGAGTCCAACTGGTCTTGCTGTCAGATAAACTTAATCTCCACATATTAATACACACAGCTTGCAGGCTTGCCATTTATGTCCTAACACAGCAGTAGGATTTTCAGAGGGATTTGTTCCCTTTAAAATTTAAATCCAAGCCACAAACTGCAGAGTGTGGTTTTACCATGGACATTGCTGAAAAACAATGTAAGGTTAGATAAAACATCTAATCCTGAAAGAATCCCAAAGCCTTCTGTATTACATAATTATACTATCCTATAGATCACACTTACATATCAAGCTATAAGGAGACTTGCTAATATAATGTAAAAGATGCACAGTGGGAGTGATTCACTGTCTGGTCAATGGCAGATGGCACTGAACAAGCCCTTAGAACTGGCCAGCGGAAAGAGCACATTACTGACCTTATTAAAAACTGTTTCAGTAGGGCCGAGAGGGGGCAAGCAAATTGCATGGGATCCAAGGAAGTGTTTAGGGAGTAGAAGTAGAGGCACCAGGTCTAGACATTGCTTAAGATGCTTGGAGGCAAAGGGGGGCTGGGGATGAGGCAGTGGATGGATTGGTTGAAGACTGCAGAGAAGGGCTTGATGAAAGAAACTGACAGTCAGAGGCAAGGAAGGGACAAAAGAAGAAGCAGGAGGTTGACAGACCAGAGAAGGTAGGGCCAAGTAATACTGGCCTTTTTACATCACACTGGAATTGTGGAGGGGAAATGGTAGCATTACTGGACTGTTCATAGAGACTGTACATAGAGACTACACAGTTGTACATTGTGGCATCTTGACTAGAGTGGGAAGTTGGGGTGGGAAGGGTCAGACTTGCTTTGATTGTAACCTCTTTGAGGTAGGAACTGCCATTTCTTATGCGTTGGTACAACACTGAATACAATGGGATTGGGACCGTTAGGTGCTACTGACACATAAATGTAAAATACTAATAAAAATGAAAGAGACTAGAATCACTGGCCTGATGGTCTGTGGGCTGTATGTGGTGGGTGGGTGGGTGATAGTTTATGGCCCACACAGAAATGTATGTGGTGTGGAGCAGATGGCAGTCAGTGTTTCCAGTTTATAGGCAGAGGTAGGATAGGGACATGAGGTCAGACTTAAGTTTTGTAAATGGGCAGTGTGATCACTTACACTTGCACATTTATTTCAGCAACTCTATGAAATGTGAGGTAATTTGAATATGGATTTAACTGCCATTATCTGCTCATTTTCATACTTTTAAATGCTTACTGTTTTTTAAACTGCAACAACCCTTAGTGTACACACACTAATGTTAAGTAGCAACTTGATCAATGTTTAAAATAGAGTCTTGCCTGTGATATTACTGTGTTCTGATTATACAACGCAACAGTAACCCGTCCAAAACATGAGTCATAATTGGCCAACTCCACTCCAGTGGAGCTCCACCTACTTACATGAGCTACTTACATATAGCCCAATATATGTAATATTGCTTTTCCATGCAATAAACTAGATTTATTTTTTTTTACTATATGGTCTTCTTGAAATCAGTAACATAATATCCTACTCACTAAAATAGTGTAACTAAACGTATATTTAAAATGAAAATAGCAGCTCACTCAAATCAAAGCCATTCTTACTGCTCTCAGAATAGTATTCATACAACTGTACATGAAAGATGCTAAAAGTGTATCTGAAGTAAATTGCAATTGTCCAATTCTCTGAGTCCTGAAAAGAGCAATTAATACGGATTCTCCTTTGCAGATCTGATACCATTGTATGAATAATAAAAATAGGGTTAGTAATGTAGGTATCCCTTTTTTGGCTACAACATCACTTTAAAAAGTGTTTCTTCTCCTACGAAAATGAATTTAAAAGCCTTCAATGTTAATATAGTTACTTAAAAAGAACCCTTTGTTCCTAAGCAAATGTTTAATATATTTTGATCCAAAGGCAGAGTATTTGCATTAGTATTCCCACTGGTATATTTGTCCTTTTGTGTCCATGCATTAAGGCTCTGTTTAAAATCTGTCTATGCCCCTAATCTGCCTGGAGAGCTTTTTCTGGATATTCAAAGCTACACTCAAGCCTATAACAAAGAGGGGGAGGGAGAAGAGACAGAGAGAAGTGTTATGCATAAGTTCAACACAACCGTCTCACATAAACACGCACAAGTGTCTAAACTACAAGGCATGGCATTTCCACAGCAAGCAGTTTCTCCAGACAACTGACTTATAATTAGGTCCAGTAAAAGCACCTTGAATCCGGGGTCCAGATGCATTCATTCAGGTCTATCATTGCTGGAATCTATCCACGATAGAATAAAAAATGCTCTGACTTTCTGATGTGGGTTTGATGGAGATCGGCTAAAGAGCCTAGTGATGCTATCTAAGGCTTATGTGACAAGTGCATAAACCAGATTACCAGTTCCTTCAATTCAGAATCTTTGCACTTACTTCTATATCTGCTGTGGAGCCACTGCTGGCTTAACAACAACAGACGAAATCCTGGCCCCACAGCTGTCAATGGCAAAACTTCCATTGATATGAATAGGGTCAGGATTTCACCCAACATATTCAAGTCCATACAAAACTAAGCGCATAACAAACTTTAACAAATCCCCAGCCACCCTGAGCTACACACTTGCCTACTCAATGCAATACTAGAGTGAGCAGCAGAGGTGTGACAACAGGGATAGAACTTCCTGCTACCAAAGCACTGTCTCCTACCCCATGAATTCAAGGACAGTCTCCCTTAGCTGACAGCAGTATAGGCCCCATTAGATGAAGATGAGCAGTTCTGATAGGAACTGAGTGGGACCCTGTTTTCCCACCTCGTGAAAATTTGAGATATTACAAAAAATAAAAAAAATCCCATCCAGAATCAAATTCATAAAAATTTGGGGGAAAAAAGTCAAAAATCAGTTCAAACAGATTTTGTTTTGATAATCTCAATTTTTTGGTTTGAATTTTGACCAATTTTTTTATTCCAATAAACTTAAATTTAAAAAGTCACTTTGAACTGGAATTTTCATTTTGAAATGTCACTGTTTTTGTGGGGTTCTCTCCCCCCCACACACACACCCCTCAAAACTCCGGTCAAGATATTCGCAAAAAGTTTTGGTTTAAACAAATCAGCATTTTTCAACAAAACACGATTTTGGCAAAAAAAATTCCCAAACAACTCTAGTTTTAACCCATCTGATATAGGGCAATTTTGGAGGAAAGGATTAGAGGACATGGAAATCTAGGACCAAATTCTCTGCTGGGATAAATGGGTACAAGTCAACTGACAAATAATTTTGCCCACTTGCCATAGCAGAGAATTTTGCCAACCCAGTCTGGACAGATGCATGGATAATATTTCACTCCGAAGGACACATGACAAAGAAATGGTTAAAAACAAAACAAAAACAAAAAAACCACTGATTTTTGTCAAAAATATTAGAGCTGGAATGAAACACAAAGTGGCACTGCAGAATGCCTAGAGGCCTAACCAGGTGTTCAACACTGAATAAATTATTCTTATTTCTTTTTCAAAGATACTGTAAATTATACAGGTTGCCATTTCATGCCAAATACAAACTTAGAACAGCATGAGTAAATCCATTTCATAATACTGGATACAGACCTTCGAACTAGTCAGCCTAGGACTAGCATTAGTCTCTGGAGTTGTAGTTTCTCCTCTACACAATCATCTTAAAAGGCGCTAATGCTTAATTACATGCATACACAAATGGATAAGTACCATTGAGTCCTGATTTCCTGAGCATTTAATTCAGGTATTTTTTTAAAACTGACTTGGGGGTTATGCAGGTCTCAAGAAAATGTAAAAGTATACTCCCCCTTGCGGCACACACTTCTTATTAATATTGGGAATTATACTGGGAGGGGAAAATATGCTCTAGTCCTACTTTGGCCAAATGTAGAGTATTTCAGGTGCACATTCTCTACATGTGTGTTTTATACACCAATCAATACCTTCCAAATTATATTTTGTTGGAAAAACTTCCTCCACTGCCTTATCAGACTGTATTAGGTCAACTGTAACATGTAATTATAAAAAACAAATCAATTAGGTAGTCTTATTCCATATTAATCCCATCAATGCTCTATTTATTCAGTGTGTTCTGCCCTGCCCTGTCCTGTCCTGTCCTGGCATTACTATTTATAATCCTCAGCTCCTCCTGCCAAAAACCTGCACCACCACTCAGTTTCCTTGCAAATTTACTTACTATCTGGGCTTGCATTTCAGAGGCCAGAAAACCAATGCAATGTTGTACAACAGGACCAAAAGTGTTGCAAGGTGGAGACATTATTATCCATTCCCCCCCACACACACACACACACACAGGAATGTCATGTAGTGGCTTAAGCCCTGGGAGTTGGGAGGTCTGAAGTTTAGTCACTTGTTTTCCCAGTCTATAAATAGGAATACTATAATTTCACAAAGGGGTTTTGAGACTTAGTTTACATCTTTAAAGTGGTTGAAGCGCCCAGCTGGAAAGTGCACTAAAAGTGTAAAGTATTACTAATGATGGAACTAGCTCTTTCCTTGCATGACATTTAG